AGTTACAATAGACTTTTTTTATCCATATTTTGACATATATCCGAGTGAAATGGTTTATCAAACAAAAAAATTTAGGGTGGGACGTGATTTTGTCCATGGTGAATTGATTGGATGGTTGTGGATTGCTATTGCTGTGATGTCATGTGATTGACAGGTTGCCCCGCCCTCACACCAGTAAACACATCATCAGAGAAGAGAAGAGATGATGTCGCTGCAAGAGGGAGCGGAAGTTATTTTGATTAAAGATTACGAGGACAAAACATGTGCAATATTCCATAAAAAATAGGATTAAAGTTGTGCTTTTTACAATGTAGCCCAAATGCATTTGGCATTGTAAACACTCTTTGTGGATTGGTGGCCCTTTGTACCAGTCGCACTGAGACTTTTCAAATGATACCAAACATGTATAGTGTTGTGATAATTGTTCACATTAAACCATATCGATTTTTGGGTGAATTTCAGATGGTTTCAGCATGTGAAATTGAAGAGATGGGGGAAGAGGGGGTGAAGGGAAAGAAATGTAAATTAAGACAATACTGAGGTGGTTGACTTGAGTGTGTTTTCGTCTTGGATGGAGATGCTAATTCTTCTAGAACATCTTCCAGTTTTTCCAGCCTTACAAAAGAGAGGAAGTAGTAAAAAAGGAAGAAGTTGAGGATCAATGAGGATAGAAGCAGAGATAAAGAATATAAGTTATAGATTGTTGTGGAAGTCAGGCATTTTGTTACATTATCCTATGCCAGATTGGAAGATGCCAGATAATCCCATACTACAACCAGAGGTCAGGAAAGATGCCACTATTGGCCTCTCTACACTGACAAGCAAATACTCCAAAATATTTGCTGATGATACTTCCTATTCTTTTGTTTTCTGCCTGTGGTAACTATGAGTGAAATGTCACTTCATCATTGTGTATCTGACATTGCCACCTTGTGGAATAAAGGTGAATTGGACTTATTCAGTCATCGAAGATTCAATTATTGTTGTGCGGAAAAAATATACTTACACTGTTACATACCTCGGGTCATTAGCGACCCTATACCATTTTTTACAAAAAATGAATGGGAAAACAGGTATTCTTTTACAATTTTATTATTTTTTTCTTGTTATATTGTTTCTAATGAATGGATTGAGGAATACGAAGACGGTTGATGTCTAACTTTAAAAAATAATTGAAGAGGGAAGTGAATGACGTCCCGGGTCACTAAAGACCCGAGGTAGGCATTTAAGGGTTAATGCTTTTTGAAAGTCTAAGACATGGTTTCATACTTTACAGGCAGAGAAGTTGCATCTGAATTTGTGTCAAGTTTTTGACATTTTCACATGTGAGTTCCGAATGAAGCACAAGAATATCAATACAGCTTTTTTGATGTTTTTGAAATTAAGGCCTTTTCACTACTTTTTAGATAGTGAAAATTAGTTTTGAATGTGTGTAAAGTTTCAGACAATTTACCAAAAATAATTTACCCCATAGGACAAAGTCAGTAATAAATGACGGCACATCAGCAACCTAAAAGAAAAGTTAATGGACAGAAAACTAATTTTGGAAAATGATTTTAGCCTTAAATATTTGTAAAATATAAAGTCTTTTATTTTTTCTCGCTGTGATTTCATAATTAGTTCAATAGAGAAGTAAGTTATCTCATGAGACCGGGTTGTCATCATCGCGACACATAACACCTGAAACCCTGAAAATGACTGTAAACATGATGGTTTAAACAGCTTTATATAATACACAGGTTTTAACAGAAGAATAAATATGTGCTTTTATAAAATTATAAGCTTCCCATTTCTACTTTTGAATCCTCCAAAAATTGGCTACATCCTCCATTGTAAGTGCCTCATTTAAAAAAGAAAAATAAGAAATGTATGTTTAGTGGTAATTAACATAAGTTTTGCCACAAATGCTGTTGAATAATCTTAACTTTTCATATTCAGGTGAATCCCCAAAGATTTGTTTTCTTAAGATCACACACAGTTCAAACAACAGCTCAACACCTCAAACTTATCTATTTAATCCACCCATAATAATTGTTTACCATATTGTTAAGTTATTTAGCTCATTCTTCACTGTTTGTTTTATTTTCAAGTGTAGATGTTCCTTTACAAATCTCGTTTAAAAAGAAGAAGAAGAAGAAGAAGAAAGAAGGTAACTTGTGGTGTCTTCAATTCAGCAAATGAAAAAAAAGACACTGTCATTCCCACACTTAATGGAACAAAGATGCTTACAATGCTTTGTATGTACATATATTTCACAATAAAAGCATTTCTACATTAACTGCTTAGCATCAAATTTGTGTACAATTTATTTAGTTTAGGTGAAATAAAACAATCATAAAGATCTCCCAACAGTAGCCTACTTAAAACATTAGTCAATCAACATATGCGAGTTGGTTCAATGAACAGCTAGTCTGGAAAAGAAATATAAATATAGAAAACAAAGCGCTATAGACATAAGATTAGACGTTTAGACATAACAGCATCACTTCAAGTCAAGACAGAGCATGAATTCAGAATAGGACAGGCATTTTGCCACAGAAATAGTATGAGTATTGTGCCAGTGCACTAGCAGTTCTCCATTCATCAGATTGGAAATGCAAGGGGAAGTCGAACACATTGCATTCTGGGATATAGTATTGAGTGTGCTCTGCACGTTTTGTCAAATGTCATCCAGTTATTCCAATCCTGCCTTCCATTCAGTCTTTTTATTTCTTTCTCTCTTTTTTTGCAGCACTTAGATTTGTTTTCTTATAATCACAAAGTTGGCATGACAGCACACACCTCCAATGTATGTAATTGATCCATCCATAATAACTGTTTACCATTCAATCTTTATTTGCCATTGTGGCATTTCTTTTTAATATCTGCCTTAAAGTCTTGTAAAATCAATAAAAAATAAAATAAAAATAACTTTTTTCAATGAAGTATTCAATACTTCAGATCCGACATGAAAAAAATACTGGTTGCATCTGAAATCAATACTTCTGCCTATAGCTAGTTGGGGGAAAACCAAAGTGTCTGAATTCACAGTAGGCCTATTTAAAGCTGCCGTCGGCAACATTTTTTTGATCATATTCAGTGAAATCGACACTATAATCTGACAGAACAACATAAATAAAGTGGTTTTAGAAAAAAACCCGAGCTTCTAACTCCACCTGGAGCGTGTTATTTGTTTTGCAAAAATCCACAGCTCCCGGTTCATCATGTCCAATCAGCGCAGGGGGGTGTGAGATCTGACTGTCAATCACAGATCGGGCACACGCCACCCCTCGCGCACGTTACAATCACATGCACACGCCTGAAGTTCGCGGAAGTTCGCGCAGTAACGAAGAGTGATGGCGGAAAATCAAGTACGCTCATTTAGAGTATAAATGACGTTAGCAATTGCAATCTATCGGTAGATTAGCCAGGACAGCATACCTCCAAATATTCCATGGTGTTGATGGATGCTGATGAGACGGGCGTGTTCCAGGGCTCTCAAGTTTTGAAGACAGGTAAGAGTGACACCCAGCCGACGGGGGGTTGGATACATTTTTGTCATTGGTTGTTGCGTTAAATCTTACCCAGATACAATAGTGCTATTTTCTGATTGGCTATTGTGTAGCTTGACGAACAACACCAGAGGAAACACGCTTGATTCATGCCGGTTCCACAGTGAGAGCGGCGCGGCCAGAGTTTTGGGCGCTGCGGCATATTAAATATATTTCAAATAGTTTTTCAGCGTGAGAAATACAATGTGTGGCGGGAGAGCGTGACAAAAGACCGAAATGAGTGACTGTCACGCTCAATGCGTGACACTTGAGAGTCCTGGCGTTCACTGAAAATCTGGTGCACACGCACTGACGAGCATGAACTGGGTGGGAGGGTATCCGTTGATAGTGGGGGAGGGGCATGAGAGTTGTAAACATTCAAAATTTTCCTAAATCCACTCAATCTGCCAGACTTGCCGACTGGAGCTTTAATAAAAGAGTAGGCAGAAAGTACCCAGAAGACATACTAGGCCACTTCTACTTCTACTTCTACTTCTATCCCATGAGGACAACAAGGGAGAGGATTTATGAATGAATGATAGTGAATAAGCGACGTATCTGACGCTGATAGGTCACATGATAATGACAACATGGCGAATGTAAGTCCAGATTGAATTCAAACTACACACATTCTATTTAGAACATACTTTTTTAGCGGTCGTGAAGTAATTACTTATTCAAAATTAGATGCAACCTCTGTCGTTTCCACTCTTAATAGAACAAAGATGCGTATTTCACAAAAACTGCATAGCATAAAATTAGATTAGAATGTATTTAGTTTATGTGAATTAACATAATTATGAAGAGCGCATCACAATTTACTTTACTGCTAAACTTCATCACATGTCGGCTACCACTTATATTTTATAGAGCTGTATATAGATTTTATAGATTTATTAATTATGCACACTTAAGTGTGTATACTTATTGTTTTGGCCATTCGACAAATATGAGCTGGTTGATTTACTCTGGAACGTGTGTAGAAATAGCTGTTGAGTGTTGACACAGTTGGTTTTGGTGCTATCTGGACTGTACACAGCTGTGTGGAATGACACACTTCATGTGAACAACAACATTACACTTACTTTTTTTGCCACCGAAATAGTGCGAGAAGTAGGCCAGAATTCATCAGATGGACGGTGAAGTTGAATGCATTGCATTTTGGGATACAGTATTCAAAGGCTTGTACTTTATTGTAATCTACTGCACATACTGCTTTCCATTCAGAATTCTTCCATAGGGATATGGGATATTCCTACTTGTTATCTTTGACTTCCAACTATAAGGGCGATCCATTGCCTGGCGCTCAGAAAAAACATAAAGCAAGAAATGACAATGCTATTATTTGCTTTGGAGGTGTTTGATTGTCAAAGATGTCTTCTAGACAAACTGCAGAGAATACATGATGCCATTTATTTTGCAGGTGTAAAATTAACAGAACAATATGTGCAAATAAGTTGTATCAGGAACCAGGGGCAGAAGGAATTTCCCATTTATCTCTCATAACAAATTCGACTGACTAGATGTTGAATCCCTCCATGGACGGTTCCTTTGTCCCGTCACTGTATACACTCTCCCCCTTCGTCGTCTTCGCCTTCTCGCATTTCTCTTTCCCTGCACATAAACTATCACTTCATATGCCATCACACCTAGCACCACAGCGCCCCCACTGGCCAGGAGGGTCACACCAGAAAGCAGCATGTCTGACTTAGTGAGACTGAGAAGCGTAGTCCCACAGACCACCAGCGCCAGGCCAGTGAAGAGCAACAGCACGGGATCTGCCGTTCCTCCACTCCGCAGCTGCTCGATGCGTCTGCGGTTGTGTATGCAGCCCATGTCTTGCACAGCAGAGCTGAGCAGCTGCTTCATGAGGACCACCAGAGCCAGGAGACAGAGAGTAGATCCTACGCCCAAGCGCCACAGCACCGAGGCCCCAACAGCAGAAGAGGCGGTCGAGAGGAGCCCCACGCCAGCCGAGCCCAGGCTCAGAACCATGGCCACTGAAAAGCAGTAGCACACAAGAGAGACGTGCGGCTTTTTGAACCACCACAGCTCCACCTGGTCCTCCACGGCTTGGCGCTGGAGCCACAAAGGGTCCGCTTGCAGATGAAGGTGAGCTCCAGGACTCATCACACTCAGAGGGAGAAGCTCCATCTCAAGGGTCGTCTGGCGGCTTGCTGTATGGTCAGACATGACACATTTTACAGTTATTAACACTTTACAAAAAGGTTCAATGCATTAACGTAAGTTAAGTTTACAGCATTTATTTATCTAGGTTGTTATTAATTTATAAGTATATTCATTATATTATTATATATTAGTTGAAAATAGATTATTCAAGTGCATTTTACAAAAAAAAAAAAAGTTTTTATACTTCAGAATTTCATGTTTCAAACAATGTATTATTTTGTGTCAAATCGATTAATTGCAATTAATCAGATCTAACATAAAAGTTTGTAAATATATAATATATGTGTGTATATACAGGCTACACACACACACACAGCACACACGTTGACTTGATTTTGATCTTATTTTACAGGTCGTACTTCATTTGTAAAAGCAGTTTAGATCAAAGCCTTCCCTTCATACATCAAAACTGGTGTTCCCCAGGGCTCAGTTTTGGGTCCTCTTTTATTTATTATTTATCTTTTACCCCTTGGTAATATTTTTAGTAAATTTGGTATTCAATTCCACTGTTATGTCAATGACACCCAACTTTGAATGTCCTCCAAAGTTTGGAGTCAAAACCTACCTCTACTTTCCCCCCATTTATCCTCTCAGATTGTTTAGCTGAGATTAAAGAGTGGTTCACATCAAATCTTCTTAAACTTAAAACTGAAATACTTTTTGATTTTTGAACCAACATGGCCAAATATAAATGTTCCTCTGTGAATATTGATAATTTTCCAGTGTTTGTTTTGTTTCTAAACAGGTTAAAAGTTTGGGTGTCATCTTTGACATTAGTTTATCATTTGAAGGTGAAGCCCATATAAACAGTGTCATTAGTTTGAAATATTTCCACATACGTAATAGTAATCGACTTCGTCCGGCTCTCTCAGTAAAGAGCACTGTGATTCTTGTTCATGCTTTAGTCAATACATATATTGATTACTGTAATGCTTTTTTATGGCCTGCCGTCAAAGGTTCTCTCCAGACATCACACATTGCTCTCATACTACAACACTTGCATTGGCTCAGGGTTAAATATTTTATTGATTTTAATTTCTTGCCTTACAAGGCACTACAATAAATTTGCCCCTTCATACTTATCTGACCTTCTTCACTCCTACTCATACTTTAACATCATCTTCTGCGCTCACTCTTGTTCTCCATCAAACTCACGCAACGTCCCGAGCCTTTAGTCATGCAGCTTGTTATTTATGGAACTTGTTGCCACAGGATGTGCGAACAGTGAAAGTCTTCTTTTTTAATATCTCTCCTTAAGACTAATCTTTTTAGGCAGGCTTTTATGTGATTGCTTTTATGCTTGTATCCAGTCTGTAATAATGATATGTTGTATAATGCTGGTTGTTTTATTGTGTTTGTAAGGTGTCCTTGAATGTAATAAGGCGACTATAAATAAAATGTATAATAATAATAATATATATATACAATATATATACACACAAACTTTTATGTTAGATGTGATTATTGCGATTAATTGCTTTGACAGCACTAATCATTTGCTGTTTCTTTGTAATTATTTGTGAAATTTATTTCGAAGTAAATTCTACACCAGTTTCTTTTCAGTGTAATGGAAACTGCCGCGTGCACTCATCAAGAAGTTCTAATTTTGTGCAAAAAATAAGGTTTTAAAGTCCCCCTGTAGTCAATAATTGTATCCCTTAATACAAATTTTTGGTCACCAAAATTACATATTTAAATGGGGGGGTTTTTCTTGAAAAAAAAATAATACTCCATGCCTTAAAATAGCTTGAATTCCTTCACAACCTTAAAAAGCATTAAGAAAACTTGTGAAGAGACACTGCAATGTCTCTATAAAAACTCAATCTACTTTTTTACTTTAGTAAAACAATTGTGTTAAAACATTAAAAATGCAAAATAAATGCTTCAGTATGTGTAACCCAACCTGTTTTTTTTTTAAACAACTTTACCTATCCCTCTATTACTTAAATTAAGTGTATACTATTGAAACAGTTTTTCAAAACACTGGAAGAAATGATGAAATCCATCATTATAAACCACAGAGATAATTGTAACTAATGGAGATTTTCCTCACCTTTCCTCAGTGCATGCTTCCAATCCTTGATTCAAACTTTTGAATCAACATCATCAAATTTCCAAACGTGATCCTCTTGTATCCTGAACAGCAGATTTCATTCATCGTCCTGCTTTAGAAAGTGAAATTTTAGTAAGCTTAATTCTGACAAACACACGCACACACACCATCCTCATTTGCTTTGGCTGTAGCGCAGGACTGGCAACTGTCACATCTCTCTTTCTTTGTCATTTTGTTTACCTGTCTCTCTCATTCTGTGGTGTGTCACAGTGCAAGCTGACTGGACATTGGTGCCAAGCACTTGGGGCGATGACATACTTTCCCCGTTGTCTCCTGCCACATTCCACCAAGACAATAAGAGGTTTCTCATTGTCTTCTTAGCGACACACTAAACAGCATGTCCGCAAATGAAGAACACACACAAACGCTCACACTCACACATGTGTGCGCCTAGCAGGCAGGCTGACTGACACTGAAAAGCAAGGATGTCTTTCAAGGCATTGTGGGAAAGACAATAGGCCGACTGGAGGGACATCCCACAAAGTGAATCTCTGATGTCACGCTTGCAGCATAATGGATGTTTTGTGACTGTAAGGATGGTGTCATTCACATGACAGAAGTTTACTTCGCCTCAGCAACAATAGAGCCACTCTTCTCAGTGTTTATATGTGCTGATTGTCCAGAAAAGCATGTGTGGCATGTTATTCTTCATAAACCTCATTTAGAATCATATTGGAAATTCATACGCTGTGGAGGACTCGGCATATCGAAGCCGTGCCCTAAATTTGAATATATCCTGCTCACTTTTCTACTTAAAGTAGTATTTAACTAGTATTTAAGAATGTTGAACACGTTTACAATTTATTTTTGATTCAGTTTATATAGAAGTCTATGTTTTGGATGAATATTTTATGTACAGACGAGCGGCGGCTGCCCTTGTTTCAAGAGTTGTGAGCTAAAATTCAAATTTTGTACCATCACACCAAGTTTGAGATCTCTACGACTTACGATCTCTGACGTCCTGCTGCTTGGACCTTTGCTTCTGCGTCGGGTCAGAGGTCGACTCGGGTACGGCCGTTACCGAAAGCCATTAATTATAGTTTATAAAGTCATAAATATGAATATTTTTCTTACAAAAAAGCATCACTTTGCTTCAGAAGACCTTTATTAACCCCCTGGAGCCGTACGAATTACTTTTATGATGAATGGGTGTGATTTTTGGGATTCAAAATCACAGTTCCCGTCACTCAGTTCACTATTCACTCCCATTATAAAGCTTGTTGGAAAAGCCAGGATATTTTTAATATAGGGCTAACTCCAATTGTGTTTTGGCTGAAAGAACAAAGTCATATAAGCACCCAGGATGGCTTGAGGGTGAATAAATTATGAAATAATTATCATTTTTGGGTGAACTAACCCTTTAAATAGAATTTATTTATAAAGTGTAAGGACAATGACAAAGCCTTCAGTCTGATGAGGAAAGCTACAGGTAGCTAGTGATTTTCTGATGTATTAGAATGAATCATGTTCTGGTTTTATTGTAATAAAAATCTGGGTTGCTTAATTTACCGTGTTAATGTTGTCACATGACCCTCTTTTACCATTGTGGCGGCTCAAACGGTGGCATGCAGATGGAGATCGAGCACAGAAATGAATAGTAGAGTATCAGTGATGCAGTGATTTTTCAGACTTCATGAATTTACAGTGTTCATTTATCGCAGTTCAGTGTTCAGTGATATTTTCCGCTGCGGTGACTCAGACATTAACGTTAACGTGTAGATGGAGATACATGCACAGCTTGTACATCAAGCTTATCATATAAACATATTCAGGCTGAATGTTTGGATCCAAACACAAGCAGCAGAGCATCACTGAAAAATAAAAGACCTCTAAACTCCAAAAACATTTTAATTAATAATAACAAATGAGTTTCTTTGCATTTTTAAATTACACGTGAAGCTATTCTATTCATGGATGATCATTTAGAAATTGCTCTGCGTTCCGTGTATTTGTTCAAATTATTCTTCATAGACCTCATTCATACAGGTTCATACACGGAATTCATAGAGTACAATTAACAAACCCTAAGTTGAAAATATCTGGAACATTTATTTAAATCTGTTTTTCTCGTGTTCTCCGTCGTTTCATAAAGTAACACCCATATGACATATATTTGATACACTTTATTCAGCCATGGAGAGCAAGAAGTACATTCAGTTGGCAAGCGGTGGTAGTTTTGTTCTGGATGTGGGTGTCTGGCCGAGAATCTCCTGCTTGAGTCTATGGATCTCCAGTCGCTGAAACTGGATGATCTTCTCCGTTTCTTCAAAACTCTGCTCCGTCACCAAGCCAGCCCTCCCCGCTGAAGCTGCACCTGAGGCATGACAGAAAAAAGGCAGCTGAGAACCTCCAACATGAACATCTGAGTTGGTCCATTGTAAAGATGTAAAAAACGCACCAAAAACCATCAGTTTCAAGTCAACATGGGTCACCTCTTGTGTTAGCAGAGCCCTTGATGTTCTTGTTGAAGTTGGTTTGACTCTCGTAGTTGTGCAGCTGCGTTCGGACAGTGCGCAGTTCCTGACGCAGATCATTGATCTCTTTCATAAGAACTACGTTGTCCTGGACACAGATGGCAGATGTGAGAACCTTCACACAAACAGAAACTTGAGGAAAATCCGGCCCACATCTGGACCACAAGGAATCCACATGTACCAGATGCAGGCAGGATCTGGGCCAACACTATGTTGCTGTCTGGGATTGTATTTCTATAGGTAGACGTGGATCAGCATTACTGACGCGAACTAGCGCTACGCTTGATTTCTACATGCACGTGTCCGATTTAGACTGAAGATACTCATTTCCACACTGTCATATTTTGTTCCTCTCACCTTCATGAGCTTCGTATTGTTGGCCTGGAAGACGTTTGCATCTCTGCTAATCTGTTTTTTCATAGTAGTGATAATCTTCTCATAGTGCTCCCTCTGTCTGCTGTTTTCCCTCTGCATGTCTGTGTGCACTGCCACTTTCTCCATCTACAGACAAACACCACACAAGCTCGCTTCAGTGGAGGTCAAAACAGACCGAAATATGAATAACAACCCCAATGTCTAGAGCTTACCACATCTGATGGCTGAACGTAACATTTATAGAGCTCTCGAATGTTGTCCTTCAGCCTTTTTGGGTCCTGAATGCATTCCACACATGTGTGAAGGTCAGCTTTAAATCTCTGTACCAGAACCCCAAAGTCCTGCACCTGGAGAAGACAGCAGGACAGTCACTCGTTAAAAAAATTATAGGACATTGGTATATTTATATATTTAATTGTCAACTAATGCTCCCATAAAGGGCAGTTTTAAAGACAATTTATAAAAATAATAAATAATACTGGTAAAGGTAATCTTTAGCAAACCTCAAAATGAATATTTTCACATTTTCCGTACTGTATATCATAATGTAGAAGTAACATAATTTGTTGCCTAAATTCACTTTTAGTACTGATTTTAGTTTATAGTATTTTATTTTTTAGATAAATCTGTATAGAATGTACAAAACAGCCATTTATTGGTTATTGGCAATAGCATGAAAATCATTTCTGGCAGGGGTGTACAACTAAAGAGTACATCAAAATGAATCTAAAAGTATGGATACTGAGTGAAAATTTTACTTAAAGGAATATTTCTGAGAATAGCCAATCAGCAGTAGGGGGCGTGTCCACTCATGATGAGAGAGAGTGAGCATTGAGCAAGAGACCGATTTGAAGAAAGACTGTAGAAAGAGAGATGGCTGAGAGACATTACAAAAGAGAAAAGGAAAAAGAAGGGTTATAATCAGGCAAGAGCTTTAGCACCCGCGTTATTATTAGATGAGCTTTCCAGCGCTTATGTGGAAAGGCCTGAAAACGGACGGCAAGGTTGCGTTGTTTCTGCTTCATACGTGAGTAACATTGGATTTGCTATGTTTCACAGAACCAAGATATTCTGTTTAGCTCTAGTAACAGGACAGGATTGAGTCCCATTGTTTGTCTGGAGCTGCTGTGCTGCTGGCGACCAACAACAAACTCTTGCTTGTACTCTTGTGTACTGTATGTTCTACCTTGTCATTCATTCATTCATCATCTCTTTATTTTTCGGGAAGCATTATTTTGCTTCACCTCAGGTATGATAAAGAGACATCCACTCTTGCATTGCGTGTTTGTGCTTTTTGGGGGAGGGGAAATGAAGGGAGGGGTGTGTTTGTTTGGGTTGATTTCAACAGTGTTTCTCAGAAACTGCTTACTGCACCTTTGATTAAAAGTATCTAGTCAAAAACATACTTGAGTGGAAGTAAAATGTAAAATTTTCATCTTCGGAACACAAATGAAGATATTTTTGATTAAATCTGAGAGCTGGATCACTGCTACATAGGCTGCCAAAGGGAATGATACTTGACGGCCCAGAAAGTCATTAAAGAAAATGTTTAAATATTTCATGTGCCTACAGTGGCTCCACTATAAGTTTATCAAGCGACGAGAATACTTTTTGTGCGGAAAACAAAACAAAAATAACGACTTTATTCGACTATTCCATTGCTTCCTTGTGGGCCTGAGACGAGAGTTCAAGAGATTTCCAGGACGCATGCGTGAGAACTGACATTCTTCTTCTACTACTATGTACAGCACGCGTCTTCCTCTGCTTGTAAGACGCGCGCTGTGTAGTAGAAGAAGAATGTCAGTTCTCGCGCATGCGTCCTGGAAATCTCTTGAACTCTCGTCTCAGGCCCACAAGGAAGCAATGGAATAGTCGAATAAAGTCGTTATTTTTGTTTTGTTTTCCGCACAAAAAGTATTCTCGTCGCTTGATAAACTTATAGTGGAGCCACTGTAGGCACATGAAATATTTAAACATTTTCTTTAATGACTTTCTGGGCCGTCAAGTATCATTCCCTTTGGCAGCCTATGTAGCAGTGATCCAGCTCTCAGATTTAATCAAAAATATCTTCATTTGTGTTCCGAAGATGAACGAAGGTCTTACGGGGTTGGTACAGCATGGGGGTGAATAATGAATGACTTAATTTTCATTTTTGGGTGAACTAACCCTTTAAGATACATTTTATTTGAGTAAAATCAATGAAATATATTTTTGTTCAATGATATTTTTTCTTTTCTTTTTTGGTGTTTTGAGATAATTTTATGATTTATAATTATTATTTATGCAATAATTAAGACCCATTTTTTCCCATTGAACATAATAGAAAATGTATATATATATATATATATATATATATATATATAATTAAAAAAAAAATTTATTAAAGCTATATTTCATTTTAGAGTCAAGTCTAGGCCTCATGAAAGCAATTTTTGAAATGAGATCGGAGCCATCTGGTGGACACACTGAGCATTTTTATCACGCAATAGCACATTTTTACCACTAGTGGATTTACAGCTCTCTGTAGAAACCTATGGTAGAAACACTCTAGTGATTTTTTCACATTTGTTTAA